ATGACGATCTTATGATTAACCTTCGGGTGTCGTAAGCCTGGCTGATTACGCTCATCGTCTAGCACCCACTGACGTAAGCTACCCGATTTTGGACATAGGCGTCAAATCTTACTTGCCGAAGCCTCACCAAGTAAGACCCCTAACCTTGGGCTAGCCCAAGGATTGTCCTTGACCGTTGACGACACACGCTCTGTTTGAGTGTCGCCAACAGATACCATCCAAGTCGTAACAGGAGGAAGAGCAAGCAAAGGCAAAGTTGGAGAGACGATGCATGACACATGTCAAACCAAAGCTGGGAGACTCGAGGCCCCACTCCCAAAGCCGGCACTCGCCCACATTGACGAGGAAGAGGATGAGTCAGATGATAGTGAGGAAGAAGATTAATCTGCGCAACTAGGGAATAAATCTGCCTTTTGGGTGAGCTCAAATGATGGTGAACAATCCGATAACACCAAGATTTACACACTTTTCATTGCAGAATAACATCTTGTTTGATGTTCTTCAAAATTTTGTTCGAAGTAGATTAGCTATCTATTGTGACATCCCCGAAAGCGATTTTTGAGATTGTGTCAGGTTGTGTTGTGGTAGACATCCGAAAATTTCGAACTCAAATGACGGTCAATGACTGTATTAATATTCAGCGGTTCTCTTAACGATGCTGAGACTCGCCTTCTATTTTCAATTGTTAACAGGAAACGCATCTTAGCACATGTATACTCTGGGGTTCACTAAACTTCATATGAAATGACTTTTTCCTACATAACAATTTGGCCCAGATCTGATACGATCTCCCATATTTCCGGGAAATTTCACGCAATATATAAAGAGCTGTAAGCATGGACCGATTTTTTTTTTCCTTATGTGCGTCCATCAATTCTGAAAAATAAGTCGCACATCAGTGTCAACGGCCATAGTCACTCCATGATGTTAAGGCAAAGATACGACGCACATAGCAGTACCAAAAAACGCTCTGCCATGCAGGTGAGTCGAGTTATCAGGTCCAGAAACATGCTGATACTCACGCATCCCACCGATGTGCAACGTTCAGTTGATTTGCAATCATGTTCATACCAGCAAGCTTTGTAACAGTGTTGAGAGCCGAAAGGGCTATCTGCAACACTAGTAGCTGGCATGGCAGAGATTGATGGTACTAAAGCAGCAATGATTGCGAGGACAGTTGCAGAGGAGAAACGCATTGTTTGCGACTCGTTTGTGTGAAATCAGGTAATTCTGAAGGGGATAGTAGGAAGATGGCTAGCTTTTATATTGTTTTCTGGACTTTCTGTTGCGCAGATGTGCCTTCGAATGTATACATATCTACGTGTTGCTATATTGTTGTTGCTGTTGTGGGCAGAACTAGGCACTGCTGGCAGAATGTGACGCACATGTCAGGTTCAGACTGAAGTGCAGAAAGATCATGCTTCTCACCTGCGTTCAATATTTAATGACGACTTCCTTTTCACATGATATGACAAGACAACGCTTATAAGATCAAGTATTTCCGTAGTGATCTAAGACAAACGTGCCTAGCCATACGGGAATTCTCGTCGTTCGAATGAGCTGCAGTATGAATGCATATAACCGTGTACCGATGCGATTATGGCTAATTTCCTAATAAATTCAAACACACGGCAAAAGCATCAACCCACCTATCCGTATCGTGAAAGATCGACTATTCACCGTCCCCAAGGGCTTTCTCCAACTTGTTATACTGTACAGGAAGATCCTTGATATCGTTTACGTTCACAAACAGTGCTCCGCAGCTCCACGTGAGATTGGGGAAGGAAGGAACCCTTGTGAGTCGACCAACACATTTGCCGGTCACTGAGAATCTCGGTTTCCATGATAACAAAAATCTTGTGCGATCTTGAGCGACGTGTAGCGTGAGAGAATAGAGACTAAAACCTGCATTGAACCGGAGAAGTGATGCGGACTCGCACGATAGCAAAACACCAGATGCCGATGAAGGTCGAGATGAAGAATATGCGGATATTCTTAGGAGACCGGCCTTGGGCGCTTGATCTGCACAGCCCGCGTTCATGCTGTGAAGTAAACACAGGAATAGTATTAGTATGAAGGACTCACCTGCAACTCCGACAACGACCTCCCACCTGACTAGACTGTGCATGAAGTCCACTCTATCGGAGCTTTCATATAGTTCAAGTAAAACACAGGTGAGTAAGTGACACTATTTGTGCAGCTAGGAGCTGACATTGTCCCAGCACATCGTGTGAAGTCTCCAAGCAGATATCATGTCTTCCCCCGCACCTGAAATGCAAAGAGGATCAATGATAGAGCCTCGCCAAAGGATAGCAGGACATACCCATGTTATCAATGGGATCATCCACTTGGCTGGTGAACAACGGATCATCAGCTGTTCGCTTGATGGCTCGATTCGAATGTGGGACTTGGAGAGTGGAATGCAGGTCGGGGAGGTTTGGGAGGACAAAGAGGGTGGGGGAGTGCTCTCCATAGCATTGTCGCCAGATGGTAAGAAACTAGCATGTGGGAGTGAGGATAGTGGAGTGAGACTGTGGGACATCGACGCGGGCAAGGTAGTCAAAAAATTCACGGGGCATACAAAGCGAGTTTTTTGTGTGTGCTGGAGTCCAGATGGAGGGCGAATGGTTAGTGGATCCGGAGATGAAACATTCAGAGTGTGGGATGTCGAGGGCAGCGAGACGATATTGATACTCGTACCAAAAATGAAAGAGGAAGAGAACGACTTTATATGGGCGGTTTGCGGTTACTCACCCGATGGCGACATGATTGCGACAGGCGGGGATAACTATGGGCTAAAAATCTGGGACGCCGATACAGGCGAATTGCTCAAAACATTTGACGGAGCAGCATGGTGCCTGACATGGGCCTCGGATACAGTGATCACCGGCGGATTCCGTTGGATCAGGAAATTCGATATCCCCACCTGGACCGAAATGGCTGTTCTGGAACACAAATCAATTCAAGACAAACCTTTTAATGATGTTAACAACATTGCGCTATCTCCAAATGAGCGAATCCTCGCAAGCGTATCACACAACAAGACAGCGCAACTATGGGACTTTGCAAACAATCAGCCCGTCGGACCACTCCTCCACCATGACTCGGACGCCTCAGTGCGATGCGCGGCCTTTTCTGCAGATGGGAAATTACTCATGACTGGCTGCTGGCTATCGGAACGTGATCAGAAGACATACATATTCATATGGGATGTCTCAGCTATCGTCGTAGAAGCTGGTCGCGAAGACCTTCTATCAGATAAAGTGAGCTCCGATATATTTATTCACCAATCATGACGACGAGTTCACTCATACTCTTAGGACGTATGTTGCATCATTTCTCACCAAAACCTCGCATACTGATTCACTCATCACAGAATACCGTCAAAGAGCCTCTATTAGATGTATGTTGTACGTTTCTTACAATGGCTTCGCTTTGAACATCTACATGCTAGGCTGATGCTACCCGCCAAGGACGCCCGCTAATCAAAGATGCTCGTCGGATACCCCAGGGATTCTTTGATGATTCCCGACATGTATATGATTTTTTATCTATAATCGTAGAGTCCAGCTTGACACAAACACTAGGTCGCATCCCAAAGGAGACGTGATCGTCTCGCCTTATCATCACCACAACCTCTCCTTGGTCGCTTAACCTCCTTATGGCGCCGCTCCGAATCGCACGAGACAGCCGAGCGCAACACCATCTCTCGACCCCATCCTCTCAGCTGGTCTCGACACTTCGTCTCTGGCATATTACATAAACGAAACGAAACGGACACTGAGATACCTGTAGTCGAGGTTCCATGCACATGGGCCAAGCCGGTATATTTCTCACTTCTCGGTTCCTCTCCATCCTGACTCGTTTTAACTCAGAGGAACTATCACGCGATAAAGAAGCCATCTGCCAGCTCGTCTCGACGTTCTAATCCTCATACCACACATCAACATAGTGCAACAACCCAGAACATACCATCCTCATCGCAGGGGCCACCTGCCAATGCCACGACATCCGGAGCACTTACCGCAGTGCCCGCAGTGGGCAGTACCACATCAGCGACTGGAATGACGTCGCGACGCGATATCCAAGCTGGATGCTGGATTCGTTTCTTGCTCTGTATTTGTTGTGTGCATACAGATGATCAGCATTAGTGTAGAAATTACGCGGTCATCATTTTTCATTTGCATCTTGCGTCTTCTCATCTACGACTCTTCTGCACTCCGTATTTCATACTTATCTCGATATCATTTCCCTTTTGATGAAGTCTTGTTTAATGCCCTGTATAAGCACTGCACGCTTCATAGAACACGATTACACTACTTTCATTGTACGACGGTATGTCTATGCGCTAGGTAACTTAAAACCTAAGACTCAAATCTTGTGTCAATGCCTACGAACTTATGCCCTGTGGTCCCGTGCAGATGAATTATAATTCTCGCTTTGACCTGACTCATGATCTCTCAAAATCAAATTAATCTGCAAGACGCCCGTCTCTTTCATATATGAAATGTCTGCAGATCAACAAAATACATATATGCGCCTTGGTCTTTGTTGCGCCGATTCAGCATTCATTCCAGTACTAGTGCTCTATCCAAGCAATGACCAAGCTGCGTGCGGGCTTAAATAATAGCAGGAGTCAGTTGCATCTGTTCTCTGAGCATGATGACCCACAATGTTTCGCACTCGCCAAAGCGCAATGTGATGGTAAATGCAATGGTGTCAGTCCACCTCATTCATACTCACTCATCTTTCTCTGCAATGTTCTAACCATGCTTTCAACCCTTCACAGATGTAGAGCGTGGTCCACGCACAAGCTTGTAATGCACGATTGACTTTGATTAGACATGAATGATACACGTAGATAAGAAATTTACATCCATGAACATTGGACTTTGAAGTCAGTGTAAACAAACCTCCAGCAAACGATCGCGTTTCCTATTTCTCAGCCTAGCAAAACAAGCCAACTTTTTGATACGTTTCAGCTTGCCGGATATATCGCATCATCCCTTGGGATCCACGGGGCGGCGGATGTACTTGTACTGCATACCACCCTCCTCGTCGAAGGCTTGTATGCGCCTGATCCCGAAGCCTGGCGTGGGGATAGGCAAATGCGCTGGATACTGACCCATCATATTGAGAGTGTGAGGGAGAGTGATGGAGGACTTACATCCCAAACGTCTCGTCCGTCGTTGATGACTTCTTTCTTGTAAGCCTTTGATTCTTCGTATGGCTTCTGCTGTGGATGGCATAAATCAGCACGATATCGACTGATAAAAGGCGATCTGTCTACCCTCACAGGCTCTGTTTTTCTGGGGATGCTCGGGAGGGGCTCCTGGAGATGAAGGCTTGAATCAGCATATACTATCCAAAGAGCGAAAGATAAATTACTGACGTAGAAGAAGCTCGCACATTTTTGGCAAAGCGGCTTGCCATCGAACATTGCTACTTTTCGACCCTGAACACAAAGAAATGTGAATCGAGAAAGATGCAGAACAGGAAAAGCATACCTCTTGGATCGCGATGACTTCAGAGCACTTGATCCTTGAGCACACTTGTTCCATGATTGGAGTTGACAAGAAAGATGTAATGAGAAGAAGAGGACTTTGAGATGAAAACTGCTGGAAAAAAAACTTCCAGCGGTGAGACGATGAGCGAGTGAGGATAAAACATGGCGGCTTTTATATGAGACAATGATAGTGGTAGGATGTGGAAGGTAGGAGCGTGGGGGTCTGAGCACCGGTGGAAGAATGGTGGTTAGAACTTAGTGGGACGAGCGCAAGGCCGAACCAAGACGATGTGCCATAGCACGTGAACAATAGAATAGGGATGTGCCTGCATACAAGAAGCTCTAAATATCAAATCAGATGAATGTAACTCATCACAACAGGGCACTTTTGGCAGAAATACTGATGCTCACCTATCTAGTGCTCAATTTGTGGCACGCGAACGTTTCCACCAGGCACAACTTCGTTGTGGGAGTCGACGATCACCGAAACATTGAGCAATTGATTCGTCGAGCTTGAAACCGCTCTTGCACAAATTACTCACGAAATACAAAAGGAGAAAGTACTGTGGCAAGAGAAATTCACTAGTCGCTCTAGATGTGTTATAAGCCTCACTGAAAAGAAAAGTATCTCGGAGGCATGGTGTCGAGTAGTACTTCGGTTCTCAGAAAGTCGAATGATTGGTCGGTGTCGAGCTGTGCAGACCTCACAGGCTGAGATATCTTCGGTTCCGTAGAGTGTCAAACGTGTTAGGATTTTCATCGCTGAAGTATCCAGTCGAGCTTTGAACGAGAATGTGGCACAAAGGGACAGATACGCACACTGCAGACTGTAATACATTAGACCGATGGAGAAACACAGGGGTGCAGGCTAGCAGGATAGTATGGTCGCGATGTCGAGGATAATGTAGATGAAGGAAGCGAGTAATTTGTCCGGAATAGTGATGTTGAGCGCTAAATCTGCACAGCCAATGCTGATGCTGTGAGCCAACACGAGGATAAAACGAGGAAGACGCGCCAGCAGAAAGACTTAACGAAACTTCCACACTGTCGCAGCTTTTGTCCCGTATTCATCTTTCTGTGCGACATCTATGAGTAAGTGATAAGATTCGTATGGTAAGAGCTGAAATAATGACGCACCCATGAAGTGAATCCCGAAACCAAAATCATATCGCATCCACCTCCTGCGAAGCACGAGAATTCAGCGACAATGCCTTACCGAAAGATCAAAGTACATGACATCAGTCACATCCTACACCTGCCCGGTGGACGGGTCATCTGCCATTCATGGAATGGGTCATTTAGAGTCTGGGATTTGGAGACGGGCATACGGGTCGAGGAATGGGAGAACAAAGATACAGGAGCGATGATCATGGCATTGTCGCCGGGCAGCAAGACAATAGCAACTGGTGATCAGGATGGCGCAGTGAAATTGTGGGACGTCGACACAGGCAATGTCATCAAAACATTGACGGGGCACACAGGTCTATTGCGTTCTATGTCCTGGAGTTCAGATGGAGGCCGGGTGGTGTGTGGATCCCGGGATGGGACATTCAGAGTGTGGGATGTCAAGAGCGGAGAAACTATCCTGGGACCAATCAACGCAGCGGGATTTATTTGGGCGGTTCGTTACTCACCCGATGGCAAGATGATTGCCACAGGGGGAAATGCGCTGAAAATCTGGGATGCCAACTCAGGCGAACTGCTCAAAACACTCCAGGGTTTTTTTTTGTGCCTGGCATGGACCTCAAATGGAAAAACACTTATCACCGGCGGATTCCCCCTCATGAAATTCGACACAGCCACCTGGTCACAAACTGTCATTGAGGCGCAAGATTTGGTGAATGCCATTTCACTATCTCCCAATGAGCGCATCCTCGCAGGTATACCACTGATCGGGAAGACAGTATGTTTATGGAACCTCGAAACCGATCAACTTATGAAAACACTAGATCACACTGAAGACCTCGTGTACCGTGCTCAGCCTACCTTTTCTGCAGATGGAAAGTTCCTTATCACTAGCTGCGAAGACTACCTATACAGATGGGATCTTTCCGCTATCGTCAAAGAGGCTGGCCTTCCATTAGAAATTGTAAGCTTAGATACACTTCATTCTAAATGACGCTGACAACAGCGGCTCCCTAAGCTTGATGCTACACCGCGACCAGCTCCAAAGTCAAAAGGTGCTCCTCGAATACCCCCAGGGTTCTTTGACGATGACCTACGAAAGGCTAATGTATGTAATCTCCATCTATTATTCAATGCTTTGACTTGATATGTTCTCAGGAGCGCATTCGTCTATCCCAATCCCATGGACCATATCATCACCCCACTCCGACATCACATCAACGCACCCTCGATCACTTTTACTCACTTTGGCGGCGCTCGAAGTCTCAGAGGGAACCTGACCACCATACTCGATCTCACTCCTATCCTCTTAGCTGGACTCGTAACCTTGGTATACTACGCAGACGAGATGCATCGGACATCCAGTTGCAAGAGGTCGAGGTCCCTTACACAGCGGGCAAGCCTGTGCTTTTTTTCTCCTTCACAGTTCTTCTTTGTCGCTGACTCGTTTTTTTTTTCCTGCAGAGAAACTATCATGCTAGAAAGAAGCCATCTCGTAGCTCTCCTAAAGTCCATGCCACTTCAAAACCTAGCGCATCATCACAACTACCTCCAACTGCCACTACCTCGACGCTTTCCGCAGTCACTGGTACTGCTGGGGCATCAGGAATACCCTCACGTCCTCATACCACAGGTGTTGGATGGTGCGCTCGTTTCGTGGGCTGTTTTTGCTGCGCACCTGTCCAGAACGCAGACGGTCACCATTAGTCAAGTGACATTTTGGCTTATGTGTTTCATTCGTGTTTTTGCTGTTTCATCCATAGCTTATTCTTCATGACTCACTCTTCCGTCATCACATAGTTCCTCGTGTGTAATAGCATATGGTACCAACATCCACCAGTCATACATGTATGCAAAGTTCGAACTTGATCCTGAATATGAATGAACCGTGCGTCAAGGTGCCAAAGACAAAG